AAAGTTTGTGTTATTATCCCTCACCTGCTTCTGTTTTGTAAGAATCTGTTTGGTTACGTCTTGTACTGAGTCACTACTTAGAAGATAATGATGCACAGTGCAATAACTATTGTTATTCTATCATTTGGGTATGAAATTTTGTTTTATCTTTTCATAAAATAAAAATTTTAAAATATGACACTAAGAAAAGAAGATTTTTGTTTATAATTAGACAAGGATGAGTGTTACTAAAGCAAGCACAGAGAGAGTAAGGGACATTTGCATATTCTAAATGTTGAGACTCTTCATTCTCTTTTTCCTCTGGATTTGAGTACCTGCTAATGCACTTGGAAGACTGGCTGGTTAGAATCTTCCTAAAATCAAACATCAGTCTGTTTAGGGAGATATTCAGGAATCTTTTCATTGGAGTACTTGGCAACAGGGTACCATGTTCAAACTACACCCAGGACGAAGGACACTGGAGTGCTACAGAGTCATAATTCTGCCCAGGGGGGGATCGGATTCAACTTGGATCCCATTTGGGATATACTGTATTACATACTTTAAAAAAGAACAGGGATTTCCCTTTTATTGCCTCAAAGAGGCAGAAAGCAGAGTCTGAATTCAAAGCTCAGAAGCAGCTGGCCAGCAACTTAATGTAAATATTTCATAAGAAAAGGAAAGAAAAAGAAAACCTCTGTGAAGAGAATGATAAATAACAGCAAGAATTTTGCAGTATGTTTTGTTTTGTTTTTGAGACAGGGTCCTGCTATGCAGTTCAGGCTGACTTTGAACTCACTATGTAGCAGGGGCTGGCTTTGATCTCACAGTGATCCTTCTGCCTCCACCTTCTGAGTGCAGGTATTACAGGTGTGCACAATCATGACCAGCCCTATTTTTTGTTTTTTTGAGATAGGGTCTCACTGTGTAGTTCAGGCTAGCCTCGAATTCACTGTGTATCCCAGATTGGCCTCAAACTCTCAGTGATTCTCCTGTCTCCATCTTCCCAGTGCTGGGATTAAAGTGTGTACCAACATGACTGGTTTAACAGAATCCTTTAAACCTCAGCTCAAGTGAAGTTGACCCTATCCCTGGCACGTGACCCAAGGCCCTGCCAATCATGCCCTGGAGACAATGATTGGCTCAAGGGTGGCATGTGATCCACACTGGGACAGACAGTTCCCTGTGCGAGAACCCTCAGAAACTCTCTTGTGGCAGATGTTGAGGGGCCTACAGAATGAAATGCTTCCTAACTGGAGCTCTGCGGGGCTATCTCTACCCTGCCCTGCCTCAATAAGAAAGTGGAAAGGGGGAAAACCAAGTTGATAAAGGGGAAAAGTTGGTGGCTGAGTAAAACTGTTTAATGCCCTGGATCCAAACATATTTCTGGACTTCTCAGTTTCATAAATGCATACATCATTCTCTTTTAATTTGTGCTTCAAGTAGTTTGGACTGAGTTTCAGTTGCTCATTATTGAGAGATGCCTGACTAATACAGCAAGCAAGCAGCCAGCCACACTGGCCGGAGAGCGCCTTCAGGAAACATAGCCATGGTGTGCTGGCAACTCCAAGTGCTTCCTGTTCTCTGCAGTGTGAGCTGAGAGTTGGTAGAGGAGAGAGAAGGGCTGGAACAGCAGCCAGAGAAGGGTCTCCCTCACCTTACCGAGCTTGTCTCTTTTTAGAGTCCCAGAAAAAACTCTGTAGAGAAGGAAGGCAAGTCTATGTAAAATCACGCTTTCCACACTATCTCTAATAATAACATTTTTCAAACTGAGTTAGAGAGCTTTTTTCAAAAAAATCTATTCGAGATTTTTTACAACACTGTGCATAGTGTCACAGAATTTGTAATCCCAGCATGCGGGAGGATGAGGCTGAAGGATGGCTATGAGTTCAAGACCAGTCTTGGCTACATAGTGAGTTAAAGGCCATCCTGAACTACATAACAAGACCCTGTCTCACAAAACAAAAACAGCAAGAAAAAGATTTTTTACCTTTTATTAACAAAGAGCTACTATGACTAGAAATTGTATGCTCTCTCAATCTAGGTTGTATGTTGCAATGCAAGTGAAACTTAACCTCAACAAAGCCAGCTCCTTTTATGTGCCATGTGCGTCAAAAGAGCAAGGAGCAGAGTCAGTCAGAAGATGGTGAAAAAAACATAGAGATAAAGAAGGAGAAAGAGTTTGATTCAACTCAATAAATATTTAATAAACACTGAACTTAACAGTAGGCATCACATTGGATGGTACAGGCCATGCAAGGCGAGGTATGTGAAAGGTCAGAGAATTTACCAATAGTCAGAGAACAGAGCAAAGGTAAGAGTTTATTGAAGCATTGTAAGAGAAGAGTGGGCAAGTCCAAGAGACAACCACACCATTGGGGAGAAAGCAGAGCCCTTTATATTTGATTTTAATGTGTGGGGTGGTAGTGGTGGAAATTTCATTTCAGAAACACTTTCTTCAGGCCCTGGTGGTTTTATCATCTGCCTATCTCATTTCTAAGGATCTAAAGCTAAAGGCCTTCTGGGGTCTTATCAAAATTGCAATCCGTAAGCAAGTGCTCCTAAGATCTGTAAGGTGATAAACAATCCAGAAAAGATGTTCTTTATATAATCACATTTGCTTCCTAGTTACTTTTTCCATATCCTCAAACCCTTAAAAAAAAAAAAAATCCAGTCTCTCATCCTGTGTGATTCTTCTCTTGGAAACTCTCACCCATTGTCCCCTTGCAGCATACTCTGTCTAAATAAACTTGTCTCTTTTCTGCATTCCTTGTCTATTGATAAAAATCCTTTTTACCACCAGTCTCTGGCCCTCTGTATGCCATCTTGCACAGCATACAGAGGGCCAGCACAGTGTCTTACTAAATTACACGATTTACTATGACAGTAAACCATTTGCCTTATCCCTATCCTTGAGGTACTTGCTGGGGTACAGCCCAACTCACACAGGCGGCGTGTGGGCTCCAGTGTAGACATTCTGAGGGGCCTTACTTCAGGGCCCATTGCCCAGGAAGACAGTGGTTTTCTGGGGTGCCCCTCAACAGTCTGCCTTCCAGAAGGTTTTGGCTACCTGCCCACTGTAGCCAAGTGGCCTCTTTTGTACCCACTTTAGGGCAGACAAAGATTTCCAACTCACCTGGCCCCACTGGTGAAAGGGTGTCTGGGCCATTCCCTTGTTCAGAGGCCCATGACTAGAGGATAAGAAAGGGTACTTTCAAGAAATCTTGCCAGAAAATTCAAGGCTGATAGAGCAAGGAAGCATGTTAGGTTTGGCCAAAAGTTTGCAGACTTGGGGATTGGAGAATTTCTTCCCCATTCTGGACAGAGATAACATAATCCCCAAAAGACTACCTTTCAGGTTTTAGTCCTGAATGCCAGAAAGGAGGAAAAGGTAAAGAGCAACATTAAACAAGTTTCACTAAACCTTTTATTTACCTCTACTTGATAAACCTTGGATAGCTCTGTGGCTCCTTTCCTGTCCTTTGATAGTTTTGTCTGCATATTTCCTGCTAAGAGTTTACAAAACAGCACTCTTGAGCAGGAAGATAAGAAGTACCTATGTGTTGAATAACATCAAGGGTGAAACTGCTAGCTCATCCATTTTGTTGTTAAATTGCTGAAAAGGATCAAAATACCAATTAACTTGCCGGCTCCAAAATCTTTGATATCCCCAGATTTACTGACATTTTGAAACACTTGCTCACACTTGCCTAACAGTTTTCTGATTAGGAACAAAGAAGTGTCAATCTGTTTAGCATTTGACCTGTTTTCTTAAATATTTTTATGTATTCAACACTGTGTGGCTAAAAATACTTGACTAGTTACATTCATGAGCTAAACTAATCTTTTTTTTCCTCTTGCCCCATCTCCAAATTTAAGAGAGAAAAAAGCTTAAAGACCTTTTTAAAAAGTCATTTCATTCTTATTTTTATTTTAAAAACTCTTGTTGCAAAAAAACAAAACAAAAAACTCTCCCCTCTTTTTTTCCCAAGGAATTTAGCAGAGTTTAGAAGACTTGGTAAAGCAAACTACCATACTTAGGATCCATTCTTCCCTGAGAAAATACTGGAAAAATGACCATGAGCATTCAATTCAGAATGAGAGTTAAAAAAAAAAATTAGTAAGTATGGCTGGTGAAAGACAGATTTTTATAATAGACTGTAATATTCCTCTTTGGGCATCTGTGGCCATAGTGCCTCCTTCTCGGAGATGGTTTGTTATTGTTGTTATTATTCACTATTTTTTCACAGAAAATGCTGTGAAAATCCTAACCCTACTTTCATTGCACACCGAAGGCACCCTTACCGTGGTTGTGCAGGAAAGAGGGACATTTCATTCTCAGGTAAAGATAGTTTCTAGTTTAGAAAGCTTTGTGCATTTTGTGCATATTAGTAAATGACTGAATGTAGTGAACTGAGGTGATTAAAATGTAGATCCTAAAACTAGACTGTTGGAGTTCAAAACTTGGCTTTACCATTTGTACCACAGAAAAGTCCGTTTCTTTGTATGCTCCACTTTCCTCACTTCTAAAGCGGGGATAATAGTAGAACCCATTTTCTAAGATTGTCTTATGGATCAAATGAGACCATACATTTGAGGATAGTGCCCCAACGTGTCCTAAAATCAGGGGGCAGTGCTCATTACATGATGCCAGAGCCTAGGAGAGGAGTGGATGCTTGGTGCATTCACTCTTCCAGAAGCTTGACTCAGGGATGAAGGAAATGTTTCTACAAGAACCATGAAACTGAGTCTGCAGAAACTGAGAACTAAGAATTTTATGAATATGTATGGACATTTTCCTTTTTAATGAGACCAGAAGGAAGCTTGCTTAACCTATCTCCTGAATCACTGCTGAATCACTGCTGTTCTGTTGGAACACAATAAAGATACCACAACACTGAAGCAAGTAAATGGCAGCTGGTAAGTAGCCAAGTACAAGGGAAGGGCGTAGGAAGAGCAACCCCCGGGACATAAGAGACAGCTAAGTGTACAAACTGTGTTTTCAAGGGTGCTGGTCTGACCTTTTCACAAACTCTTCAAAGAGGATGCGGTGGGAATAGCCCTGCCGGCGGATGTTGATGGTCTCCTGGATGCCCGTGGAGCGGAGTTGGACCAGGACCCTCTCGCGGCAGAACTGCAGGGCCTCTCGGTCATCATTGGGTTTAATGCAACGCACAAAGTGAGGCTGTCCAACCACCATTTTGGAGAGCAGGTCCATCAGAGAATACTGCCAGGGAGAAAAACTTGCCTATAATGAGGTTACCAGCAACTGTTCCTGCCAGGCCTCCGGAGCAGTGTGAAATGAGTGAATGACTCTCATTTTTGAGGCCAAACATGAAATCAGCAACAGGGGATGGCAGTCTAAGCCCTCTTCAGAAAAAGCATTTCTGAAACATCTAAGGCCACGCAGTATCTCCACGGGGCAGAAACAGATAAGATCGTGTTCTAGGTTACCCTGGAATATTCTCTGGTATCCAAAATGATGCTCTACAAGGTCACTTAAAATACCCAGCCTTGGGGGAAGGGTTAGTAATTTCTTTAGCCTAAGACTCACCAGAAAGTCTACGCAAATCCTACTGATACTACTTATACAAGGTAGAGGAATGTAAAAGAAAATCGGAGGAGAAGATTATGATCAAGATCAACCAGCATATTCCTGGCAGAGAAGAGAGGAGGAAAGGCTGTAGGAACCCAGAGGGGCTTTGCATCAGTGACTGCAGACGTCACTCACGGCGCCCACTCTCAGGGCTCCTGTTCCAGGCAGGCCTTCAGGGTGACTGTAAACCCCACAGAAAAGGAGTTCCACTTTCTCACGATCACTGCTCTTCATGATCAAAACTCTTACCTAGCTTACCAAGATGACTTATTCTTCAGGCCTAGCATTTGCTGCCAGTATTTTAAGGATATCAAATTAATTATCATGAGTATATTTGTGAAAAACTTTAAGCCAGGGGCTTCTCTGCAGATAGGGGTGGTCACGGACCTTGAAATTGACTTCACAGAGTCATAGAGGCTCTGAATTCCCTGAGGACAGAGCGATTAGGTGGGTCGAACCACCACAGTGATAAAGCAGAAACTGAAAGTCATGCCCAGAAGAGTGCCATCGGAAGGATCGCTGCAGGGATGGAGTACGAGAACCGAAGATCTGGTGTCTCTGCGACTCACACCATGAGCCCAATTCTAGTCCGCCTCTGAAACAACTGACAAGGCTGGACTTTATGGCTTTAGATCTTTCCTACACCTTCCATCTACAGTGCTGGTTCCTAGTGCCTGCCCTTAAGCCCATCGGGTTCCTCCAGCTCATTAGCCAGTTTCCCATCCTCCTGACCACCTACCCCTGCATAGCCTCTTCCTCTGCCAACACCACTTTACCTGCTTACTTGGCTTCCTCTGAGGTCTGCTACCATGCTAGCATGATACCATCTGTACCGTGAAGCTACCTGGCCCTTAACTTCCTGCTACATAGTCTCTAAAAGGCTAATTTTTTTTTGGCTGGGGGTAACTGGGGATCAAATTCGGGTTCTTGTGCACTGGAACCACTGGACTAAATCCCCAGCCCAGGCTAATGTTTTATAGTAATGTAAAGATCAAAAAATCTGTGCAGACTGGTAAAAGAGTGCGTATCTCTGATCTTTGCTAAGTAATAGGCACTGAGAATAGCCACTGGATGATGTTTTTATCCAAAGGAGATACTTTACTAGATGAAATATCAGAAATTAGGATGGCAGAAATGATCGATAATAGGGCTCAGGCAAATGGGTTTTGCACCATGTTGATTCAATCTAGGAAAATAAAAATCAGTATCTAAATTTGATGCACCACTTTCCAGAATTGAATTAATTATGACTGTAAGAGATAACATATTTTTAATTGGTCTTTTTTGGTCTAGACAAATAAGGTCATTTCTTAGATACTATTATTTGCTGGAAAAGTGGCTGACTCCTGTGGCTTTAAAGCAAAGAAGCAGCTCAAAGGCCGAGAGAATAAGCACATTCACTACCAAGAGCTGTGCACCTGGTGGTCTCTCTCTGCTGTTGCCACCACTTGTCCCTCCCCCAACACTACCCTCTTTCTTAATAGCTCTTGTGCTTTCCCTTTGTTCCAATGACTCCTTCATCCCTGGACCTCTCATGGCCAGGCTTGGTGAGTCCCCTCTGCAAACAGATGGACGAGAGACTGAGGAGACTCCATACCCGGAAGTAAGAAGCCATGGTTTGCCTCTTCATGTTGGTGGTTTCTTCCGGGTGCCGAATGACCTCCAGGGTGTCCACCTGGAAGCACAGCAACAGGGAGACAGTTTGAAGGTACAGGCACTTCACTCATTCTCCTGGTTTTCCAAAATCTGAAAGCCTCTTTGGGCAAATACCCGAGAGGCAAGAGTATATGTACACTGTAGGGAGAATTTTTAAAGATATATAGAAGATAAGGGAAAAAAAAAGAAGTGCACTGTTCAAAAAAACTGGACAGAGGTCAGTGAGACTTATAAAGAGGTGGACCCCAAGCCCACGTTGTAACACAGGGAATTCGGCCAGCACTAGTTACTGCCCATTCCCTTAGACCCTGATCCTCTATATGCCCCTGCTGACCACGGTTCCCACCTTCTTGCTGCAGGTATGTGTTCACACGGCACCAAATCCCTCAGGAACACATCCCCGTCATCTCTCCAGTACCTCAGCTGACTAGAAGGAATTTGGGACAGAAACAAGGAACAGTGCTTTGTTATTCATTATAGCTCAAGAACAAAAGCCCTGCTTTGGTTGGCCAAGTGCATGAGCATTTCAGCGTTAGCCTCACACAACAAGGGGGTGACACAGGAACAGTGGAACAGGAAGAGGGTGCTGTCAGCACACGGCTTCTGCTAGGTGGACTGCTCTCCAGAAATCCACTCGCCACTGGGCAAAGTTCTAGTCAACCAAACTGAAAAGTGGGTTATAAGGGGGGACGGGCTGGGTGGGGGGTGAGGGTCACCTGGACAGGTCAAACTTAGGGCACTGTTGAAAGGGAAGAAGGTACTTCAAGTGGGATGGATAAAGAAAACAGGATTCTTTAAGAAGGGGGAAAAGCACAGGGCTAAATTCTCTAAAACTAGAAAAACAATCTAAATAGCAGGAACCCAAGTGAAGACACCCCAGGACTACACTCTGGATGCTGGCCGTTCATTCACAGGCAGCTGAACAGTGACACACCTGATGGACTATTTTCACTTTTACGGTATGTGTTTTGTTTTGTTTTGTTTGTGGTGGTGGGGACTGAAACGAGGGCCTTCAAAGTGGGCTACATCCTCAGCCCTTTTTTATTTTTGAGACAGGCTTTCACTAAGTTGTCCAGGCTAGGCTTGAATTTGTAATCCTCCTGCCTCATCCTGCCTGAGTGCTGGGATTACAGGCCTGAACCATCATGGGCTAATGTCAATATTTTTAGTGAGAAAGGAGGAAAGGAAAACTTTTAGGATGAAGACTGCTGTAGTATAGGGAAAAAAAAAAGAAAAAAGAAACACAAACTGCCTGGCCCCACCTGCACACATGGTGTCATCAGATGGGTCTACACTGCAGGTTTCTTTCCCTCTCCCCACTAATTAGAGGACAGCACTCAGGCTGGGGGGTTTGAAGGAGCTAAGATGACTTAAGGAAAGATCTTGGCTAGCACTGGCCTCCAGTTGAACATTAAATCCTGAGGGTTTTGTTTTTTTTTTTTAATTCTAAGTTTTATCAACTTTCTCCCCACCCATAACCACAGACACATACAACTTTTGAGGATTTCCCCTCCTCTTCCCTGTATTCAGAGATCCTCCCCAAAGAAGCATCTCTTCTTGTTTTGAGCCTTGCTTCTCATCACTGCCCTCCTTTTTTACTCAAATTAGCTGATGAGAGCCAGCCCCCAAGGCTGTAGTCCACTGTGAAAGGGTAGGTGAATACACATCCATATTTCTCTGGAGGTTGTGATGGATTGACTGTTACATACCCTCAGAAAGTAAAGATCTAGGCATTTGAGAATTTAACACTTCTGTGACTAGAAAAATCAATCCTCGATGGCTGAGAAACTTAGTGTCTTTCTTGAGCTGGAGGTCTCATTATGTTGCCCTGCATGGCCTCAAACTCCTGGGCTCAAGGGATCCTCTTGCCTCAGCCTTCCGAGCAGCTGGGACTATAAGCCCAAGCCACACCACCTCAATCAGCAGCTGAGATACAATTTTAAAAAAATAATATGTACTGTTTTCAAAATCAATACAGGTCGCCTGCAGCAAAATGGAAAAATACAGAATGAAGTACCAAATGTACACTGCAAAGGTTCTAAGGCTGGCATGGACAGGAGGGAGCCCCCAGCAAGCGGGAGTTCCTGCCCAGCCACTCAGTCTGTGTTTCTACATGACTTTCAGCCCAGTTTTGCATTCACATACAGAAAGGTAGTGAAAATCTGTTCTTTATTACATATAACCTGGAAATGCTGATGTTCGCCTGCAGGTCACCACTGTACATTTAGCACCATACTTTTTAGAAGATCTGCTGTCAGAATATTTTCTAATTTGAGAATTGAAAAAGGTTGCGCTGGGGATTTAGCTCAGAGGTTCTGCTGCTAGCCTCGTAAGCATCCAGAGTTCAATTCCCAGGGCCAAAAAAAAAAAAAAAGTCATTGGTTTGTCAAAGTTTTCTTATATATGTGCATGGTCACAAAATAGATCTAACAGAGGGTACCCATTTCAAAATGATCAGTAAAAGGGACATTATGGATTAAACCACTTCTAACTCAGTATACTTTCCTACTATAAAATTAAATTTATAAAACACTGTAAATCATTCATAATTGAACAAGCTTGATTTATCTTAGTCTTAGTCATTTTCTCCTTGCTGGATTCAATACCAACAAAATGGCTCACATTTTTTAGAGGTTTCAGTCCATAAGCACCTGGTCCCAATGTAACATAAGGGAAGGGCCTGCTATGTAAAAAAGCTGTTCATGCCATGGCAGCCAGGAAGCAGAAATGGGAGACTGGGGAGTGAAAGACGCCCCTCCAGGTCACAGCCCAGAGGCCACCTCTTTCCATCAGACCCTGTCTCCTCATAGCAAGTCAGCTCTCCCACCCCATAATCCAGTCACCTCCCCAAAGCCCTGGCTATGAGGCTCTCAGGGGACGTTCAGTTATTAACCGTAACACTGCCCATCTGACAAATGTCCTGCCTGGTTCCTTGTGAGTGGTGCTGGTTAACTTTCCAAGTCCCATGAGCAAGCCTAATACACTGTGCTATAGCCCACAGCAGCTGAGCAAGCTTTCATATACAGACTACACACATGGAATCTTAGAGGGTTGTCAAAACCTGAGGAATAAAGCATTTATTGTGCGTATCCTACACGAAATCACTGTGCTATACTAAAAGCTTTATTTACACTAAGCTTTCGAAATGGACACTCTGAGGTAAGTAATATTTTTTATTCCCATACATAAGAAAGTTAAGGCTCGGAGATTTTTAGCTAAGTTTCCCAGTCTTGCAGCCAGTATATGACAGTGCAAAGATCTGAGCCCAGCTCTATCTGATCCTAAACCTTTCTTCTTAAACACTGTATCTTGCCACTCTGTGTACTATCATATAAAATCGAAACCTAAAAGCATGATATTATTTCAAAAGTTTGCTGTACCTGTCAACTGAATTTACTGGAGAATAAAGACAAAGATTCCAAAGAAGTCCCATTAGCTATTCAGATATCAATGAATGAAAAACTCAAACAATTTCTCCTGCTTTCAGTAAGTGCTCACTGCTTGCATCCTGAACCCTCAGAATTGCTTGTACTTGTTATCTTCTTGACAAGGCCTTTTTTTTTTTTTTTTTTTTTTTTTTTTTTTGGTACCGGGGATCAAACATAGGATCCTGTGCTTGCAAGGCAGGTGGCTGAACCACTGAACTAAATCCCCAGCCCTAGACAAGGCCTTTGTCAGGAATTTTTACTACTATCAAGTGAGACATCTGTCCCTGAAGAAGAAAAGCCCTTAGGGCACCACCCCTCCCAAAAGCCCCAGACCTGCTGACTGGGAAGGCAAGCCTGGCACTGCCACCAGCTCAGCTAGGTTTCTGCTTTCTCTGGCCTGCTTTACAGAAGGCAGGTGAAAGGAAGGTGAGAATTGTCAGCTTGCCTTTGCTGCTTTCTTAAAAGCCAGAATACCATATTTTGGGGTGGCATGCCCCGAACGCCATCATTCTGGCACACTGACACTGTGCTGTTTCAGCTTTCCTACTAGAAACAAGCGTTTATTTCTGAGGTCTATTTAAGGACTTTTTTTTTTCATTTAAGTGTTTTTTCTTGGTGGTTTTACAAATGTAATGCTGAAGTGCTATCTGGTATCCTAAGCACAAGAAGGTTGTGACCTGCCTCATGGAGAAAATACCTGTTAGATAAGCATTATTCAGGAAGAAGATATACAGTTGTTGGCTGTGAGATCAATGACACAAATACTGCATTTGAAAAAACAATTTTTTTTTTTTTTTTTTGCAGTACTGGGGACTCAACCCAAGGCCTTTGCACTGAGCTGCATTCCCCTAACTGTTTCTTTTAGGAGTGATGGTTTTAGTATTTGTAGCAGCTTTACAGACTGTCTGAAACATTTCCTGTCAGTAGGACAAAATACCCAACAACTACAACTTAAAAGGAGGAGAGGTTTTGGCTCATGGTTTCAGAAAGTTCAGTCCATGGTGGCAGGCTCAGAGGCAGAAACAGCATTGCAAGAGGGCATGGTAAAGAAAAGTTGCTCAATTCATATCAGTCAGAAATCGGGAAAGAAGGGAAAAGCAAAGGACAAGAATGCATCTTTCCAGGTCAGCCCCCAGAGAACCATCTCCATCAACCAGGCCCCACTTCCTAACAGCACATTTAGCTATGAAGTCACCAGTGTGTTAAACCACTGACACGTATAGCACCTCTATGATATAACACCTTGCCAACACCTCACCTGTGAACCCCTTAACTAAAATCTAACCGCTTTTTGTTTTTGTTTTTGGTACCGGGGATTGAACTCGGGTCTTTGGGCTTACAAGGCAGGCGGCAGAACCACTGAGCTAAATCCCCAGCCTAAGCGCTTTTTGGATCCTAAGAATTCCAGGATGTTGCTTCAAATTCCTCAATCCTGAGTTCCTAAACACTGCCTGACTGTGAGCTGGGTAAAGGGAACCCTTTTTTGGGTTTAGATTTTAGATCTAAGCCATAACATAAACCATAACTTTCACAAATAATAAAAATCAACTGCATTTGATATAAACAAATTTACACATAAGATCAAGTGTCTCTCAGAAGCAGGGAAACATATAAATCTCTTCTAGGGGCCCTAATAACCCACATAAAATAGTCCTAATGCTGTACCTTGCCACCATGTAGCAAGATTGAAAAGTAGGAAAAAATGGATCACAATAGCAATGTGGATATACAATTATTGTTAATATTTTTGAGTTCCTATTCTATACAAATAATCCTTTTATTATCAATAGAAATAAGTATACCGATATACATCTGTATACATTTTGGAATAATATCCAATAGTTTTATATGTGGCTGAGTTGATTGTTTTTCATTAAAGAAGTATTCTGTATAAACAAACAAAACCAAGAAAATTGAGGGATATGATCTGTTTATTATTCCATCACCTTCAAGATAAATTGTTTTTTATGTTAATACATAGCTTTCTCTTATCTTGGGGGATATATTCCAAGATCCCAAGGGGATGCCTAAAACAGATCCTACTATACCCTATAGATGCTATGCTTTTCCTAATACAGACATATCTATGATAAATTTTAACTGTAAACTATATATAGTAAGAGAAGAGCAATCATAATTAATGATAAAATACAACAACTATAGCAATATACTGTTATAATGGTATCATTTTCTTTATAAGGGAAGCACTTAATAGCCTTTCTTTGGCCATATTCAAATTTCTAGCATTGTAACTCTTATGTTCTGGCGCCATTATTGAGTAAATTAAGGGTTATCTGAACACAAGCACTTCAATAACCTGATAGCTGATTTGATAATTGAGATAGCTACTAAATGACTAATGGGTAAGTACTATATATATCATATAGACTGAACCAAGGACAGGCTATGTCCTGGGCAAGACAAAGTGGAAAGGTGTGAGATTTCGCCATGCTAGTTTTAATTTTAAACCTATGAATTATTTATTTCTGGAATTTTCCACTTACTATTTTTGGGCCACACTTCCTGAAGGTTACTAAAGCATGGAAATAAAAATTTCAGGCAAGGAGGATTTCTGTACATACAGTGAAGATCAACCAGGCAGTTTTTAAGATTTTACACTGGGAATCTATGAACCCTTCTAACATTCCTCTTACATTACAAAGTATCTCAGTTTTTCAGAGGGCAAAGCCAAGCAATAGGAAATAGTTTGGTTTCTCTATTCTCTGCTAAGTCCTTTTGGTCTGTGTTCTTCTCTGTAGGCTGGCGTTGGTGTAGGAAAAGTACATTATCTCTCCCTATATAGACTTTATTTTAAAGCATCATTACTGTGTATTTTAAGTGATCATTCTGAGAATCAAGATCCTAAGAATTTCATGATGTTGTTTCAAATTCCTCAACCCTGAGTTCCTAAACACTGCCTGGCTGAGGGCTGAATAAAAGGAACTAAAGCAGTCCACTAGCATTATCCCCAAGGCAGAAGCAACCCCCAATCCCAATCTGCTCATATTATTTTTGGTACAAATCTACTCACCTTGGCTCTCCCAGCACTGAAATGTGGAGGCAAAGATCTGGAGGCTGTTGATATCCTGGCTTTTGCCTGGGCCAAATTGCCTGAGCAAAAATAGACAAAAAGCTTAAATTAAAGGAAAAGTTAAGGAATAAGGTTATGAGTATTTTTTCCTTTGTGTTTTTGGTTTCTTTCCAAATTTTCTGAATAATCTACCTGAATCTGAAACAATTTTTGAATATTTTTAGTCTCAATAATATAAATTTTAGTGATTATTTTTATTAAAATATTTTATTAAAATATTTGCACCAAGACCTGTCATGTAAAGGTGTAAGATCCCAATGAATGTAACTGTGCTGTATACCTAAAATGTACCAGTAAACTCAATGAGGAAAAAAAATATTTACACAACATTGTGTGTGTGTGTATGTATATATATATGTGTATATATATATATATATGTATATATATCACAAGAAAAAAAGAAATGACAAAAAGTATCAAAGTCACACAACAAATTGGGAATAGAGGGAAATTACTTCCATACGATAGAGGCTATACATGAAAAGCAGACAGCTAATATCCATACTTGATATGAAAAGCCGAAAGCTTTTCCTCTAATTTCAGGAATAAGACAAAGGATGATCATATTTAACACTTCACAGTACAAACACAGTACCGAAAGTCCTAGCTAGAGCAATTAGGCAAGAAAAAGAAATACAAGTCATCCAAATCAAAAAGGAAGATGCAAAATTATCTCTGTTCACAGATGATATACACTAAAGATTCCATACAAGGCTGGGGATTTAGCTCAGTCATTCACTGCCAGTTTCGCAAGCACGAGGTCCAGAGTTGAATCCCTAGTACCCCAAAAAAGATTCCATATAAAAATTGTTCAAACTAATAAACTCAGCAAGAATACAGTATGAAAAGTTGATACACAAAATTCAGTTACATTACTATGAATTAACAATGAACTACGCATAAAAGAAATTAAGAAAATAATTCAATTTATAATAACATCAAAAAGAATACAATACTTAGGAGTAAATGGTACCACGGAGGTGAAAAATCTGTACAACACACACAACAAAACAAAAAATCCACTGTGAGACCTTGTTCAAAGCCAGGCACAGTGGCACATGTCTGTTACCTCAGCACTCTGAGAGGCTGCAGGGCAGGAGGACTGCAAGTTTAAGCACAGCCTAAGTAACTCAAGGAGATTCTGTCTCAAAAACAAAAAATAAAAAGGGGTGGGGATATAGCTCAGTGTGAAGATTCTAGGTTTAATCCTCAGTACTGCCAAAAAAAAGTTAATATACTCAAAGCAACTTATAAATTCAATACAATCACTACCAAAATCCCAATAGCATTTTTTTGCAGAAATAGGAAAAAAATTCCTAAAATTCATGTGATACCACAAAGTTGGCCCAGCCTAAAAATCTTAAGAAAGAAAAACATAAATAGAATTTTTGTATTTTTTGACTTCCTCAAAATGTCTTACAAAGCTACCGTACTCATGAGAGTATGGTACTGGCATAAAGACAGACATATAGACAAATTAAATAGAGTACCAAAAAAGTAAACCCATCTATATGATTAAATGATAATTGACAAGGGTGCCAAGACTATGGCATGAAAAAAAGATTTTTGTTTCAGCAAACCATGTCAGGGGAACTGTATTTTATAATTTTATAAAAGAATTCAACTAAACCCTTATTTTACACTATAGTCAAAAAGAGATTCAAAATGAATTAAAGTCTTTAACATAATATCTGCAACTATAAAACTCCTAGAACAAAATGTAGACGAGAGACTGTGTAACATTGGTTGTCAATGAGTTTTGGGATATGACACCAAAAGCAAGGCGACAAAAGCAAAAGGCACTAACTGAGATGACATGGGACTAAAAGCTTGTGTGCGGCACAAGAAGCCGCCACCAACAATGAAGAGACAATGTACATATGGGTGGAAACACTGGCAAACCACACATGATGGAGGGTGCTATTTAGGAGAGAGAAGGAATGCCTAAATTCAATAACAAAAAACCAGCTGACTCAATTAAAAAATGGGCAAGGGCTTCCCAGAGAAGGCACGCGAACGACTAACAGATGTGTGAAAAGGTACTCAGTATCACTAATCGTTAGGGAAATAAAAATGAAAACCACAAACCATCCCTGTTAGAATGGCCATCATAAAGACAAAAAAAAAAAAAAGTGTTAAAGAAAAAGTCGAAGAATTGAAACTTCCTTCTGTTAGTAGGATACAAAATGGTGTCGCTCTGAAAATCATAGAATGGCAGTTTTTCAAAAGGTTAAAAATTGATATACTGTATCATCCAGCAATCCCATTCTAAGTATCTATCTAAAAGAATTTTTTTTTCTTTCATTGAGTTTACTGGTACATTTTAGGTATACAGTACAGTTACATTCATCACTGGGATCTTGTACCTTTACATGACGGGTCTTGGTTCTCATTTTTCCCCTTGTCCCTGTCCTCCCTTCAGCCCCTCCTCCCCTCTCCATTTACAAACACTTCTCACACACCTTTAGCACTTTTCTTCCTATTTCACATGGTCAATTATATCATTAGGATCTTATGTACTGTTACAGTTTTTCACACCAGAGAAACTATTCGGTATTTACACGTGTGACTTTTGTATTTCACTTAGGAGTATATCCTCAATATGGATCCATGACTCTAATTTCTCATTCTTTATGGCTGAGCAATATTCCATTTTATACACCTTTAGCACTTTTCTTCCTATTTCACATGGTCAATTATATCATTAGGATCTTATGTACTGTTACAGTTTTTCACACCAGAGAAACTATTCGGTATTTACACGTGTGACTTTTGTATTTCACTTAGGAGTATATCCTCAATATGGATCCATGACTCTAATTTCTCATTCTTTATGGCTGAGCAATATTCCATTTTATAGAAAAACCACATCTTCTTTATCCAGTTTCCAACTGATGGGCAAATGGGCTGTTTCCAAGTTTTAGCTATTGCAAACTGTGCTGCTATAAACATAGGCTAAAAGAATTTTTTTAAAAAACATGATTTTGAAGAGATATTTGCTTACCCATAGTCACTGTACTACATATAACAACATATGTGTGAGTATATAAAATAAAATTACCTTCAGGCCATTTATATGAGCTCTATATTGAAGTAAACATGTATGTATACATGTATATGTGTGTAGAAATATATCTAATATATAATTACCTCAAGCTATTTGTATAAAATATATAAGAAACAAATGAATTCTGCATTTAGAGTTTGGTCTCATCCCCCAAGAACTTTGCTTATGCAAATGCTCCCAAACTGCTCTCCTCCAAATTCATACCTGAAACACTTCTGGCCCCACGTATTTTGGATGATGATTACTATGTGTATATTATCATTATTTGCTGTGAACCATTATTATTATTATTTGCTGTGGACACTTCACATAGGTCTCAAAGCAGAGAATAGAAGGCCAGCGAATACCAGGCCATCTCACCAATTCTCCTTGGGAGTGCTAACTAGTCCCCAAAAAGGGTGACAAAACACGACACAGGAGATATTGGCCACTCACACCCTGCCTCTTTTTACCTTTGTAGGCTCAGTGAGGCCTCTCACACTCTCCCCTTCCCTCCTACCACACACCCATCACCAAACCAAGTGCAGGAAGAGATTTGTTTGCACTTTTACCTGGTGTCATTTGACTCTCTAACAAAATAAAAACTTGTCAGTAGAAGGAAACCCTGCAATTTGTGCATAAGCACAATGCTCAAGATTTCAAAGTTTAAGCAAGTCTAGCATAAAGATGTTTAAATGTTTTCTCTGGTGATACCTTCAGAGGCTAAACTGTGATTAATAGCCCAGAAAGAGCCCTTTGAAGCAGGATTGGTGACATCAAAGTCGTAATCCAGGGGTGGCAGGAGCTTTGTAATGAGTGGGAAGCATTTTAACACATTTCAAAGGATTTACAGCATGAATAAACAATAGGCTTCAGCAGATGCACCACACACACCTTTCAGAAACAGAGCCTACCAGAAGTTTCCATTTTAATTTAAATGTAAATACAGTGATCACACGCCTTTCAAATGGAATGGACCCTGGCCCCTAGACAGTCTCTTCAGGGGAGCTTCGCTCGGGGGTCCAGAGACCCCTCCTGTTCTTGGGGAACCGTGACTACTGAAGTCTGTCCCGAGCAGACCTGGAAGTCAGAGGCACCTCCTGGAATTTGCATCCTCGGTGGGCCCTGGGTTGAGACTCTGAAGTGGAGCTTGCAAGGATCCCACGTGATTTCCCTGCTTCCAATTTAAAGAGAAAGAAACACGTGGTCTGGAGACAGAGACGAAGCATCTAAAAGATAGAAATTTCCTGCCTGTGTGTGAAGATTTTCATCCCTTGGAAAATACTCAGAAGCCAAGATTTCATTTTTAGTCGCCTCCCCAGAATTGTCCAAAATGACAGGTTGCTGCATTAAATTATCAAGCAGACTTCGGTCTCCCTCTGCTGCCCTCCCTAGGTTTACGGGATTTGCTACAGACCAACTGGAGACCAGATGGACATTAGTTTGGGAAATTTTTCTGTTTTAATTTTCCCTCCAAACATAAGACATAGTCTAATCAATTAATAAATTACTTCAAAGGAATGGTGGCAATGTAAAAAATCTGTTTATGTCAAAAATTTCAGCAGCTGTAAAAAAAAAAAAATCAAAGGCAGTTCATACTATAAGATTGTTACCTGAGCAGACCAGAGAATTATACTCGGCTTGGGTACTGATCTAGTCAGCACACTCACTGTCTACACTGCATGATTTGGTGCTGTCCCTGCTTCCATTGGCGTCACTTTCTGTTTGAAGGAGTCTGGAAAATCATTGACAGATGGTCCACCTTATCTTAGTAAAGAACTGTGCATTGTCTTATCAATGGGTTGTCCTGGAAATGCCTAAAAACAGACTTATGCTAGTATGATTGATGATTGTGGTGACTGAAATGTTCTAATTTCAGATTATACCACTGTGGCTAATAAAATGCAACAAGTTAAATTCAGTGGCTGTATACAAATGTACTATGTGTTAGATTTCCCTTGCCTTAAGACGGCC